GTCCCACCTTAGGCATGAAGCCATCTGAATGACTTTGGGCCAATCACTAGGAGACAGTGAGTTCTAGTCCCACATGAAAGCCTGCTGGGAGACTTTGGCCAGTTACTGTTTCTGGTTTCTCTCTAGTTCCTGAGAAGGGTCTTACCTGTTGACTGAAGGTTCTGTTCTAGGCTTCACCATCTCAGGAATAGGAGGCGTTGGAGTGACGGGTATCGGTGCTACAGGTGTTGGAGCACCTGGATTATCTTTTGCTGGGGATGGCCCCGCTGCTTTCAGTATTTCAGGTGGTGGTACTGACTGAGATATTGTCTGTATTTGGCTGGCTTTGGGAGACTCAAAGTTTACTACACTGCCATTTTTCCTAGGGGTTGAGGACCGAGCTGAAGACTCCTGACTGATGACCTCAGTCTCCTGTTCGGGCCTCTTGCCATTTCCTTCCACTTTTTGGATTCTAGCTAAAAAATAAAGTTTAGGAAAAAATCAATCATAGCTTCTTCAGTCATCAGCTGGAACTGATCAATACAGTGTAGTACATATTTGATCCATGCATGAGAGTACCCAAGCATAACCCTGGTAACTCAACTAGCATCCTCCAGCTGAATTTGCCCATCATGTTAAAATGTGACGTACTTTAATCATGGCTTGTTAAACAAGAACCAGCAGCTGAATTAACACATTATCCTAAACCATAAACCATGACATGCCAAGCCACAACCAAAGTAAAATGAAGTATGTCTTAGTGCACTCTTAAATTCAAAACCTCAGTGAGAACAGGTTGCCCAGAATTCTTGCAGAATGCTTGAATTCTGATTGTAGCTCAGGTTCTAAGAATTTCAAAAGCCGATTCTTTAATTAATGCATTGCTCTGAAATTTGTCAGAATCTTCTGATTCTTTCTGCAGCCAGTAAATATAACTAGGCTAGTCTCTGTATGTTTCATATGACTGCTTTTGCTTTTGATTATGATTGCATTTTGTGAAAAAGATGACTGAACATACAGTCCAATAATGCCAAGTTCCTCATGGAAGTTTCTGCTCACCTGCTGCCATTTTGACCACTTTTTTCTTGTCTTCAGTTCTTTCCTAAAAGAAGACTCCAAATTAATTGGTTAAAAGTTTAGCCTTATATAATATTTCTGTTGAAAAAAACCACTGTGCTCAAACATCAAATAAAGTTTGTGGGTATAAAAGTGATCTGCACTGCTACTCACCCGTTGATTCATTCTTTCTGTTAAGAATCAATTTAAAAAAAAAAAAATCAAAAACACGGTATGAGCATTTGGTCAACACTTACTGTCTGGATCTGCATCCTTAGTTGGCTGTTGGTGAATTTTAATGACCTCGCAATACTCTGCAGGTAATATATTAGCATGCTGGAGGGGAAAAAAAATATCAGGAGAGATGTCTTTGATTTACATCACACTGAATTGAAAGACCTGAATAAACATAATTACAATAATTTGTTTCCATAATAAGATTTCTTCCCAGCAACTGGCAAATAGTCACCTTATTTGGATTTAGAAACTAAGCCAGAGCAGACATGATTAATACTTAAAAGTCACTAGGCATAACCCAACATATTAGCTATCTAAATACAGAGATCTTTTTCAGTATTTCTCATTTGCTGGCTAAAATGGAAGTTCTCCCAGGATAATGGCATGGCCGGATTCTTCTGGACACATACCTTGGCATCCACTCGAAATACTGACCATAAAATCAAATAAAAGTATTTAGACTTACAAGAGTAATAACAAAGCTGGAAGAACCACCACAGGACTACTGATGTAAGCCATCACAGAGTTGAACCAGGGAGGAAAGTCATTTCGAATAGTTTCAGACACAATGTCATAGATTTTTTCTTGCCCGCTAGATGAAAAACATTCAATTGTTGTCTAAGAAAATCTGCAGCATATTAAACATTTCAAAATAATTTTCTGTTCACAGCCAAGCTCTGAGCTAGGAAAACTTTGTGCCTTTTATTTTCCTGGGGAAAAATAACCACCAGTTGAGCAAACTGGAAGGATAAAGTCCATACTAGAATAGACCACAACTTTCCTCTAAAACAACTTGGGATTAAAAACTTTTCAAGATGAATTTAAGGCTTCTTATCTACCTCCATTTTGAGGAGAGGCAACCTGTGACCTCCACCTGTTGCTGAACCTCAACTCTCAGAAGACCAAGTAAATAAAGCCAATTATGAGGTGTAGATCAGCAATCTGAATAGCAACCCATCCCAGTTCAACCCAGTTTTTTTTATTGCACCCAAACTTTCAAATATTGTTTATTTTTATAGCATGTTTATTTTCATTTTATGACAATGGTGCATAAATACACACATAGAGCTATCTAATTATGAGAAATCAGCACTCCACAATCACAATATCTTCCAATAACATTATCTGTGGAATGAACTTTGATTTTGTAGAGGTTTCCCTGTTTTTTTTTAAAGTAAATGATTACTTTAAATGTTGCTTAAAATGTTAAATGAAGCAATGCCAGTATCCACTTACCTAAATGGGCCACAGGTTAGAGATGGCTTGTAGCGGGCAATGGCAAAGATAGTTGGGAGCATACACAGAAAGAGCATAAAGAGAAGCATAGCTAAGTAGAAGTTGTTAGATCTGAAAAGGAAGGTCACATTGTACACAAAGTGTTACATACCCTACATCAGGGGTGGGATTCTACCAGTTCGCACCTATTTGCTAGAACTGGTTGTTAACATTCTAAGCAATTCGTAGAACTGGTTGTTAGAAGAAATTACTGG